TGACCGGCCCAGGGATGAGCCTTAGCACTTTCCCTGGACCCCCTGAGGTGGCAGAGCTGAGAAATGCCAGGTAGACACAGCATGTGAACATGCCCCCCACCCGTCTGCAGTATAAAGGAACGAGGCTGTGACCCAGAGAGGCACCCCAGGGATGGCAGGAATCATGGGGTATAAGGGCTGCTACAGGGTTGGGGAAAGGTAGTGAAACCAGCCGAGGGGCAGGGAAGGCGGGAGGGGCTCTCCTCTGGAGGAGGTGGAGGCCGAGGGAATGGCTAGGGCGACAGCAGGGCTGTGGCCATAGGTACCATCCCGTGTGTGTCTCCTTAAGCCCAGGAAAGTAAAAATGTGGAAAGGAGCATAAATACAGAGGTGACAAGGGGCAGGTCTGTGATCCCTGTCCCTGCTGCTGTCCCCGTGTGTTGCCTGAGGTTTCTGTCCCGGCTTCTTCCCCACCCCTCCTTGCGCAGGCCAGCCCTGAGAGCTCCCGTGGCCATCTGCTTTCCCACAGCTCAGCAACCTGGAGTGTCCACAGGAAGTGACCAGAGGGCTCTGGGGAGCAGCCCTCAGTCCCCCACGGCTACCACATCTCCCCCGGGGCGGGGGGGGAGCGAAGGTCCCAGGGCATGGCTGGCTGCAGGCAACTCAGCATCTGGCTGCTTAAAGGGGTCCCATCCTGGCAGCCCTGGAGCCATGGTGTGTCAGGGCCTGAAGCTTGCTTTGCCCAGCTCTGGGTAGGAGCTCGGAGAATGCCAGGGAAATGTGCCAAAGCGCAGGTAGGAGCTGATGGAGGCTGTGGATGCAGAGGGGCAGGCTGACTCTCCCGCCCCTCCCCCTGCCCCCAAGCCAGCCCCTGGCTCAGCTTGTTCAGCCATAGGGCAAAATCTCTTGGGTTTGGCACACAAGATCACCCAGAGCTCACGGGCAGTCCAAGACAGGAACAACTTAATTTGGCCTCATCACCCTCTCTTCCCACAAGTGTGGTGGTTAATGCCCGTTTGGGGTTAGACATGAGGGTGGCCCCTCAAGAAGTCTCTTGGACAAAAGTGGAGGGTCAGCTGCCCTATAGCTGAAAGAACAAAGCGGCAATATTTCCTGGACACTGTGGCCTCCACTGGATTTCCAGTCTCACTGCTCTTCCATTGTGCATATGAGGAAACTGAGGCCCAGAGAGTGAAAGGGTCTTCCCTGTGGCCCAGGTAGAGCCAGGGCTGGAACTGGCTGGTTGGAAAGCAGAGATTGGGAGTCAACAGAGACGGGCCATGCAGTGGAGTGGAAGGGGCTAGAACTAAGGCTTGCCCTGGAAGGATATCTGGGCAGGGTTGGGTAGGTGGGTGGCCTCTAAAACAAATGCCATCTGCTTCCTAGCCGACCGATATGAGGGCCACCTGAGTGAGGTGGGATGTTGGGGAAAACAGGGCAGGCCTGGGTGGGGGGTAGTGAACAAAGGGCTCAGAGCCCAGTCCAGGCTGCCCGGCCCTGGCAGTGGCTGCAGGTACTGAAATGTGAAGTGTGTGAGGGCCTGTATGGGTATGTGTGATGTGTGTGTGAGTGGGTGTGGGTGTGACTTTGTGGAATGTGAGTATGTGACTGTAAGGAGAGTCTATGTATATGTAAGTGAATGACTGTGTGTGTATGTGTGTGTTGTGTGTGTGTGTGTGTGTGTGTGTGTGCACACCCTGTGGGGAGGCTGGCTAAATCCTGCTCCTGTCCCGCCCCCACCCAGCTCAGCCTCTCTGGTTTCAGCCACTGTCCTAAAGAAAACAGCCTGGCAGGAGCCTGCAGCAGGAAATCACTATTTGGATTGCAGAGGCGCCTCTTCCTGCCCCCATGGAGGGGAGAGGGCTAGGGAGGGGGCCTTCCTGCCCACCTGGACCAGACCTCTGGCTGGTCTCGAGTACCAGCCCCCCTCCTCGGCCTCTCTAAGTCCCTCAGACCCCAGCTTTGGGGCAGAAGACCCGAGGTTGAGCCTTCCCACCATTGTCTGTCCTCAGGACAAAGAACCACAGCAGCTGCGGAAGCGAGAAGTGGATGCTCCCTGAGGCCCTGGGAACAGATTGGCACACCCTCACCAAGGGCCATTGGGCAGCCTGTCAAAGTCACAAAGGCATGCACTCTGAGGCCCAGCAGTCCGTTTTCAGGAATATTCTAAATAGAGCTGGCTCATGCAAAAGGACATGTTTGGAACTCTGTTTATAACAGGGGAGTAAATGGAAGGGACTAGCCTGGAAATGGTTGGCTGGATGGCGGCTCATCCCTCAGTGAGACTCCTGATAAGGAAGACCTCAATACTGTTGGCTAAATGATAAGAACAGAACACGATTTTGACATTTTTGTAAAAAAAAAAAGAAAGAAAGCAGTATGTGCAAATGCTCATTTATGCACAGATTAGACTTTTGAACCTATTGTACCTTGGACATACAATAACTAAGCAAAAGATTGAGATAAACAGATAAACAAACTTTGGGGGCCTGAGAAGATGGGGCTTCTCTCCTGGCTTTGGTCCTGACTATGTGACCCTGGGCAGGTAGGTCACTTTCTCTTGTGTCCTGAGTTTCCTATGTGGTCCCACAGGTCAGAGAACCTGTTGGGAAAGTTAGTCCTGTGTTCGTGT